ATTTAGTCTATCTTCTAATTATAATTTGACTTTATAATATGAATTTTTTGATAAAGTATTGTCATTTGTTTATATGTTGTACACTAACTTAGGTTTTGGGTTCGATTTTGGTTTAGTTTGTTCTGTACAAAAATGTGGTATGGATCAGATTAAAATTATCAGTCTGGTTCATATTCGTATAGACCTAGTGCGTCCGCAGTAATATGAGCATTATAATTATGTCATGTATTATTATTGTGATTTTTGTTATAAAAACTGTGTTAATTTTGTTATTATCAGGTGGAGCAAAAAGGCAAGGGTCCTGGACCAAGATGCTCACACGCTATAGCAACGGTTGGAGACAAAATGTACTCTTTTGGAGGAGAGTTAACACCAAATTTCCACATCGATCGAGACCTCTACGTCCTCGATTTCAAGACTCACGCATGGTCTATTGCTACTCCAAACGGCGACGTTCGTCACCTCCCTTGCTTAGGCGCTTGCATGGTAGCCATTGGCACTAAACTCTACGTCTATGGTGGCCGTGACGGCCACCGCAATTACAACGGTTTCTACTCTTACGACACGGTAAAAAGCGAGTGGAAACTCATTACTGACCTCGATAAAGGACCTGAACCGCGTAGCTTCCACTCTATGGCTGCTGATGACAAAAACATCTATGTGTTTGGTGGAGTGAGTAAGACGGCACGTCTCAACACACTTCATGTTTATAACATTGTAGATCAAAAGTGGATTGAGCTACCGAATCCAGGAGATTCTTGCAAAGCGAGAGGTGGACCTGGGCTCGCGGTTGTTCAAGGGAAGATTTGGGTTGTGTATGGATTTTCCGGGGTTGAAATGGATGATGTTCATTGCTTTGATCCTGTTCAAAGTAAGTGGACTCAAATGGAAACAAAGGGCGAAAAACCATGGGCAAGGAGCGTGTTTGCGATAGCGGTTGTGGGGAAATATATAATAATATCTGGAGGTGAGATAGATATGGACCCAAAGGCTCATTTGGGACCAGGGAAATTGAGCGGTGGGGCTTTCGTGTTGGACACGGAAAGTTTGGTGTGGGAGAAGCTCGAGGATGGTCATAGCCCGCGCGGATGGTGCGCGTCCACGTTTGCTTCAATTGATGGAAAAAAAGGATTATTGATGTATGGAGGGAAGGCTCTGACCAATGATCGGTATGAAGACATCCTTTTCTATGGAGTAGACTCTGCTTAAGAACGGTCTGTGTTGGTGAGTTTGTGAGTTGTCATATAAGTGTGGTTATGTTGCATCAAGGGAGGGATCTGTTTGGTGAGACTAATAAAAGTTAAGACTCTTATTTGGTTTGTCTACATTTTCTGTGTGTGCATGTTTTGTTTTATTGAAGTTGAAACAGATCGAATCAGTAAGTGTAGAAGTGGCTATAAAGAAATTGCATAATACAAATAATCGTAAAATTTGTGTAAATTAGTTAATATTTTCTGAGTTGAGTTTCTTCCATTGGGATACAATTTATTTTGCATTTGGTTCCTTGTATATTAAAAAATGTTTAAAATCATTGGTA